CTAAATCCTTGATGTTTAAATTTGGYAACASGTTATRTTTTMATAACAYTCGAGCTCTTAATCACMCAAAAATRCGRGGGGATTAATAGGAGTAGTTTCACAGAAAACCTGAAGAAAAAGTAGGACCTCTAACTCTGTAGAAATTCCAAAAACGCGTTGTATGGTTGGCTGCTGCTCTAAGAACTGATGATGGGTATTTGAGGACATTGATTTATCACACAAGGGACACTTACAGATTCAATATAGCAGAGCGCATGTACTCGGATTGTTGTTCTCCCGGCAACACCCAAGATCACACGTGACTTTCTATATAATCTATATACTTTGCGGGTTTGTGTGAGGGAACGGTTGACGCCCACACAGAAGAGCTATTTTAATACCCCGGCATGGGACAGCTCTAGTTTCATGTTTCATTGAAACCAGACTTAGGAGTAACAGATAACACGTCTTGACTGACAATATAATAATGCAAACCTCTCCAAGTTCAATATGTCCAACAAGATTACCATGACACTATTGGATTGAGTATATCTCTATTGCTTAAAACAGCCAAAGTTCACACAAACCAGATGTCCTTTCATTCTTACAATCAACATGCAAACAGCCAACTGTTTGTAGAACTGGCTGTTTCTCTTCTGTACACAAATCATTTGCAACAAAAAGAAAATCCTTTGAAGTGTTAAAAACGGAAATGTCGGGAACATTGCGCTATCTAACAATTCTTAATCCATTCGATACTAATAATCCTAATTGGTATAAGGTTTTTATTGAGAGACTTATTGGTCAAAAGTCGTCAAAAGTAGGAAGGATAAAAGCTAAAGAGTTCAAACCGTCTCACGCAAGTTCAAAACATTTAACCCGTTAAAGTGGTCTCTCACGGGTCGAATACTCGGATAATGACGAACACGATATTACATTTTCTCATAACGTTAATCTAAATGTTGTTTTTTTGTTGTTGTTGTAACATTTAATCAGGCTTAACTATCAATAATGTAATAATTGTGCTGTTCTGAGAATTGTACAAAATGGAAAAGAAAACTAAGAGACTGAATGAACCTTCCACGTATTAACGCCCTTGATATGCTGTGTGCGCAACTGAATCAAATAGTGCGTGAAGGTAAAGGCCAACGCCCTTGATCCTGTGGTATCTTATACTAAACCTAATATGGCATTGAGGTTAAATTGTGTACTTTCGTTTGAAAAAATAAAAATGGGGTGTTCCCAAGGCTGTTCTGTTTCATAAAGATCCATAGAAACAATATGTGATGATAATGGCGCAGGTTCATTGTTTTTCAGTGCTGTATTCAGTTGATAATTTCTCATTTTTCTATCATTTACGTTAACAGTTCGTCATTGATTTATATGACTTGTGATTGCTGAAGATTTAATTAGTTTCACTCACGGGGGGTTCAAACTGACAGTTATTTTTCCCATTTCAATGACCTAACACTCGACTAGCTTTGAACCGCAAATTGGCGCATTTAGTGAACGTCTATTCGTATGAACGAGACTGATTACGATATTCAGTGTTATAGTACGTCGATACGACATACTGGTGCGCAGATGTTCAAACCGCAGTCCACTTTGCCGCTCATTCTTCAACACCCAAGTCTATCAGATCAAATTGATAAAAGGACATGGTTGCAAGGTGGTCGTTCAAATTCGGATCCTCACGTGAAAAGCAATGACCACAAACCGATATTTGCCGGTAAATCAATGGTATCACTAGCGAAAAATATTGATCAATATTTCGACAGACTAGTAAATGTCCTGCTCTCATATATAAACATATATTGTACAGTTGTACAGGTATTAGTACTATGTCTGGGGTAAACAGTCCTTGAGATTTACTAGTTCTTCAATGGTTGAAACTTGACATTTAGCCAGGTGGATGGAATACACCTGGTCACTGTAGAACGATTATACACTGATAAGGGTGTGGTCAAAAATCTTTTTGGTGTTACTACATACGCACGAATAGTACAATCTTGATCAAGATGTGGGTCCTTTGAGGGGGAGGTGATGGGGCAAAAGCCGACATACCGCGGAGGTACAAGATGGACGTTTTGTTCTCACAGTGCGCATGTCCACTTAGGTGGTGATTACGTCATGAATGTTTATGCCGCACCAATTACATAGGGTGTGGTCATCTGCCGTTTTAGATCATTATAATCAGTACTATATTTCTAAATCGCTATTAATAGAAACAGTATATTAGGTCATATCAATCGTTATTTAGAAAAAGTTTAAAATCAGCTCAAAGTGCGTTCATTACAAATAGCGTGAGGCGTTGTGTACCTTACTAGCTATATAAACAGCTAATTCCGTCTAAATGTCAAGCTGTTTCGCTAGGAAAGTTCCGCTATGTAACGAACGATGAAAGCGACAACAATGAGTTATAAAGCTATGACGTACGATGACACTAAAATACAAAGGAAATGTATTTCAATTTGAATTATATTTCGATTCTCAAAAAACTTTCAATTAAAATGTCGTTTCGGAAGTTTAAGTTATCCTTTCATTAGTTAAAAGGATGATAATGTTGACACACTTCATCGAGGTATCATAATGTCCACTTATCTTTGTTTTAATACATTTGATAACATGAATTATACCAACATGTACAGGAAGTAAAATGCTTATTCGTATGAACTGTATTCCAAGTATTTCCGAAAATCCCTACTCAAAGTGTGTTTCTTGAACATAATCAATACTTACTTTGCACTTTTGAAATTTTATTGACAGGCATAAAAACATGCTGTCATGTGTTCATCTTTCATAGATATTCCCTGGCACTTTTTAGATGCAATTTTTAGAAATCAAAGAATCATTAAGATTCCCTACATTTTATTGGATTCTATTTTTATAAGTTTATCTGGGGTCACTGCCAAATGTTCTAAAAATAAATACGCTGTGTCCGCACCATATTTGGTTTGTGTCCCAGTATTATTAGCAACACTTCCGGTCGGCGGGTTATGACGTTACTTGGGCAATAAATATTAACGATGTTATAAATGGAAGAGATATGCAATACTGACGAATTAATAAAAATCAGATATACTGATTATTTTATTGTTCTTCTTCTGTGTTGGCGTTGCTGATATTGCGTTCGCATACAATTTTTATTCAATTTATAGATAATAAATAATACAATATGATACAATATATATGATCAGTGTATTTGATACACCTGTGGTATTCCAGTGTCTGGTCGATCACCAAATGACCCTGGCACTAGGCATGTCGATCTTGCAGTAAAGCTGGGTGTTTTTACGCATTGACCATCGCTATAATAGCTTCTTTCCAGGTCCCAGTATGTGTAATATCGTAATAGGCTATACTTTTACTGAAATACTGATATGCATATTGAGTGACAGTTATTGATTAATTATCACATAGTTGACACTTCCGCGTGCCGTCTAGTGACTTTACTGTTTGAGTACCTACCCTGGAGAGGTACCGCAGAGAGGATACAACCCTCCAGTGTAACACACATGATTGAACTTTGTCTAGTATTTCGAACTCTTCTTACCACTTTGCATTCTTTAACAGGAACTTTAAACAGAGTTTGGCAAAAAGAAAGAGTGTTGGGTGGTATGGTGGGTGTATGTGAAGGATGGAGAGGAGGAAAAGTTAAACACAATCAAATGATACCAGACGGACCTGACATCAAGGCATTACATATCAAATTAGTTCCTATTTTGGCGTACAACTAAGCCCTTTTCTCTATTAAACAAATATAGCTGCATGGCCGTGAAGATCTACGACAAGGCACTACTTTATAATAAGATTTTGACACTTTAAATTCCAACCAATTTTTTACGCGGTTGATGTAGACAAGCATTTAAGGCATCTAAAAAAATTCGCAACCTAAATGACTGGCGCCCATAAAGAGATTGATTGGCCAGTGAAATACGTTCTCCGTGGTTTAATACTTGATATATCAATTACGGCCTCTATATTGCTTAAATAGAGTCTGATCTTTAGCCAATCAGAGCGCGCGGCTTAAATTCTTGGCCGTGGCACTACGCGCATGCGCATTGAGGATTAATGACAAAGTTGTGTGGAAAAAAACTCTCGGTGGAGGGCTAACTGCAGTTTGTTTTTGAAGGGTTTTTCTTCATATTTTGCTGAATTCAGCTCTTAGAAAGCACCACAAGTTAACTGAAATCTTGGAGTTTGTGCCTGAGCTGTTAATTCGTTTGCCCATGTCCTAGCAAGTGACACAGAGCTTAATATATTCACTACAAAGACCCTGGGAGTTTGTCTTCGCTGGGGATAGGTAATATGGCGGAGGTAACTGAGGAAAGCTCTTACACAAAACCGTCTCGCCACCGTAGAGATCGAACTGAAAGATCACATCGCAGACTTAGAGATAACACAGGAGATTCACCTGCTGCAAATACAGATCTCAATACTAGCAACCAAGCGGACAGTGGTGATATAAATGAACAGTTTTTGAGTCCGGCGAGCGCTGAGCGAGATGTTACACCAAGAAAGGACAAGAGAAGATCGAAGCGTGATGAACCCGAAGCAAACACTCCAGACGAAGCTGGCTCTGAGTCTACACCAAGYGCAGATACTCCATCAAGAACACGGATAAAGAAAGAGAAAAAAAGTGAGAATACTGCTAGAAAGAGACGCGAAAAGAAAAATCTTCGCGAGAAACGACGCTCTACCGGAGTTGTTATAATGCCGACTGGTGAGGTATGTTACTAACAACAACGGATAACTGGTGGATTGATCTTGAAACCTAGCTTAGCAAAACTCGTAAGAATACTACTAAAATATACCTAATTGCATGTTGTGGGGGAATTTGTAAGAATTCTAAGGATTTGCCCTTCAAAACATGACGAAAACATTCGAGAATTCGCTCTAAGTTGATCGAAGTTAAAGTTGGCGCGATTGACTTTGTCGCAAGTTCACTGTTGTCTGTTGCCGGGATTTCGTCAAGCTGAATGTTTTTTGCTTTCAAAATTTCTACAGATGTTAAGTAATGACGACATTCTTACTAGGAACAGACTTCTCTGGAATTAGACAATGAAATAAAGTTAACGAAWGACATATATTGGCCATTACTTGTATCAGAATGCTGGACATGACCATGAAATCAAAGCATTCTAATACTTACCTATTAGTCGGGATTTTGAACTGCAGAAAGTGAGGTCTTAAACGATTTAATTTATTATTAATTGGTTTTTATTACTTTTCAAGCCCCAAATCATGACTAATAGCGTCAAATTCGGTTTACATAACTTTCATCGTGAGACACATTTAGCAATTTTCTTTGATAATTAGTTTAATAATTGTACAAAATGTGGTAATTTTTCTGAATTGATCTCATCCTTAAACACAAGACTCGTGGTATTAAAACTTTAGAAATCTTAGATTTAATGTTGAAATCCTAGAAATTTTCCTTTTTAGGTACAATGTAGATCTCTTCATAGCTGAATAAGAACATATCATAGTTGATTGCTCTCAGTCAAATCTAATTTAGCCATTATTAATGTTCACTATTATACTCGTACAATTACAGTACTTTCCATTGTAGATGGTCTGTACTAGACCTTAAATACCCCTTATGCTAAAACACCATGTGCCCTCTGAAAGTATTGCTGATTAATTTAAGAACAAAATGTCACCAAAAAAATTCCTTTTTCCTCAGAAACTAAATTTTAGAAATCCTTCAGAAATTGATTTTTTTAACATAATTTTTTATGTATCTTTGAGTAAAGTGATTTCCATCCATTTTCTGGAAATAATTCTTATTGATATGAACTTAGATTTGATTAAGGGTGAAATTGACAACAGTCAGTAGTATTCATTTATTGTTAGTATTATTAATCAATATTATTAATTATTTGTACAATAATCACTGTGATTATGCGATTTCAGAGTGATGATGAAGAAGATGAAGAGAAGAAAGCTCTGAAACAACACACACAACAAAATGAACAGCTTGTCGTAACTGATGACAAAGATGACATAGTGGTAAGTAAAATCTCCGAAGTACATCTGCTTTTTTGAAGTAAAACAAAAATTAATGTGAAATGATCCATCCAGAAAACCTATTGTGCCTCTTATAACTGTAATTACATGTTTTAAGAATATTTTAAAAAGTAGGCAAAAAAAAGTGAAAACTGTTATTTTGAAAACCATGATTACTGTGATAGTGATATCAGTCACACAGAGCTGGTATTAAAAAACTATCATCATTGTATTTATGTTCCTTGTAATATGAAAAAAATTAAATTAAATTAAATCCCATTTAATCTAAAGGATGTCATATGACATAAACTTTTGGAAACTTCAGTTATTAGTAACTGATATAACGGATATTTTCCATATCCAGTAATGATTCAAATATTTCATTCAGAATTAAGAATTCTAAATGATTTAATAGATGTAATATATAATAAAGTTGTTTGGTGGTCATTCATTCCAAATCTTAATCAAAGACACTTGTATAGCCCAGATGCATTTTATAAGGAAGACAACTTGATATCAACAGGTTTATTTCTTTGGAAACTCTTATCGTCGCAAATATCATTTACAAAATGGTCTATATTTTTGACACCTGTTTTAGCAGACACTACCATATTCCAGATGCATCTATATAATCATATTATAATCACACTGACAGCTTTTTGCAATACAGACAACCTTAGGTGCTAGTGCATTCTTTGTAAACATGACATCCATATCTCAAGTGCCTCTATATGGAAAACACATGCACTTTCCAACAATTCTATGGTATCCTATATATAGATGTATCATTTCATTTACTATTGATTATTATTAGATATTAATCCAAATTGAAACTCTTCTGTCAAGGATGTTTTTATTGTTTTTATTTCTGTAAGATTAGAGGGGTAATATCAACAAAGTAGAGATTACACAAAATAAACACTTTTTAATTGCTTGGTTATGGTRCTAGTGCATAATATCAGAGAATAGTATGTTTAAAACAGCAAAGATATAATATTTGTGATATTATAATAGTTAAAAATGTATACCAAACACTTTTATTTTTTCTCCAATATTTGCACTCTACAGATTTTAAATATGAATTTGTACAATGTTTTCGTTTTTCACGTCTAAGTGCAGTCTCTTTCTTAGATCTTTACCTTGAGGGCTTGAAAGTCCTTGTAAATAGGAAATATTGATCTTTGTAGTTGACCTCAATTCTCAGTATAAATCTTGATTTTATCTRGAACCTTCATGTCTATCAAMCTCTTTCATCACATKAGTATTCCTAGTTATAGTGCAGKAATCAGTCTGGTTATTWACAGTCACAKRYATCATTCCTTGGAGATRCTAATAAGAACATTGTTTGAAATGATGTTTTAAATTTTTCATAAAAATTACTTGTGTCAAGAAGAAGATTTCGATAAGAAAATATACACACAAATGCACTTCAGRTGAAATTCAGTGGAGAAAGCTCAAAACAATTCATAAATTTATTATTAACATGTTATCTTTAGTTTTCATTRTTATTKGGGTTCTTGTGATGTCACAAKTGAATGCTGAAAACTGAATCATAACATAGAACAGATAGTTAGATAGTACACATGACCTGGGGCACATTCAAGTCACTGCTAGTAGTACTAAACCTGGAACTCATCCCTTGTCTTTCTCTGTRTACCTCCTGATATCATCACTCCTACAAACCACAGCAATTGCCGAGGTTTTATTATTTTATTTCTTGCTGTTCAACAATGGTACGTTACAGGTTTGCTAGYAATTAAWGAACAGATTTTAGGCCCATTGAACAGTGTAGTGACCAAAAAAGAACTATTTGATTTCTACAACTTGACTTGTTCAATTCTTGAATATTGATGTCAGTTTAGTTAGGTCTTAGGATCTTACTAATAATTAATGTAAAAACCACTAAGTGGAATAATTTTGAGGTTTAAATCTTCTGGAATTTCTATTTTTGGCTGAAATTTTATCAATTGCAATGCTTTCTTTGGATGATAGTGTCTGGTACTCAGTGTCTGTTGACAGCCATGCTCTAAATGTTGTTTGAGTTATGGGATCAAAAAATAACATATAGTATCAAAAATTAATGTCTTATTTTTTTTAAAAAAATAGTAGTTTCAAGTTTTTTTTTTATTATTATTATTATTAATGAAATAATTTCTTATATACTATCAAATTTTAGATCTATTTACATTTCAAGAGTGCTTAGCTTCAAGTTTTTAGGATTTAAGGTTTTGTGATGCAAACAAATTTTTTGTTAATTTCAATTGCAGATCTTTTATTTCATTTTTCCTTTTTTTCTTATTTAAATAGTCATTATTCTCTGCTCAAAGAAGTCTAAAACCACATTCCTTCTGCAACAATTCATTTTCTTTTGTCCTTTAAAATATATTTAAGATTGAGTTGGCCTTTTATGAAATTTGAATGCACTTGTTAAAGTTTCCTGATTTTATTTTTTTAACCTTGATATTAATTCATTTTCTCTCTCTTGGTTTCAGGCGAATGCCAAAGGGTATGTACTGCAATGTTTGTATTCTAGTTTATCATTGTCATTGTACTTAATGTGCACAAATGAATGTTTTTGTCACCATTTCAATGAAAAACTTGATTTTTTTTCTTCAGGGTGCCAAATATAAGGATAGATGATAAAGTGGTAAGTACCAGCAATTGTATTTTAATACTTTTCCTGGAAATAATCAATATTCATGTTGTAATCTTTAGATAAATGACAGCGAAACTATAGAAAAACAGAAGTTGACAGAAAAGGTAGAAGAATATGAAATCCAGATTGACGACTTCAAGTCTAAACTTGAGAAAGCTAACAAGGTATGTTAAACTTGAAATAAATTGGGAAAATACTAGTCTTATGTATCTCTTGCTTGTATTTAATGGAATAACCTCCTTGTATGTACTATAACTTTCTATTATTGCCATGTCATATTTCTCATAGTGACATTCAGTCCTCGTATTCATATCATTAATGGAATAACATAACATATGCTATGACATGAAATGCTTCTGAGGAATTACTTTTTGAGACAATATTTTTGCTTTTTGTTTTTATCATAAATCTTTTATTATTGGGATGCAAGTACAACTAGTTTGCTACCAGGACACTGTTAACTGCCTGTGTATATATATTTTGCTTTAGTTGTACCAAACTATTGAGATTTTAGTGATTTCAGACTGTCAACTCCACCACACGTAATACTTTACTGGGCGACAAAATGCTTGTACTGCTTGCTGGAAATAATCTCTTTTTATTCTCCAGGAATTGGAACAGCTGAGACTTGACAACCAGAGACTGAAAGATGAAAATAGTGCATTACTACGTGTAGTGAATCAATTATCTACCAAGAAAAAATAAGTCAATGTAATTACAACCTTCATTGCACTAGGTTACAAGCATGATGCTGCTGTCTTTTAGATACTTCCCTATAGAGGTGTCTGCATTGACTCCCATCATAACTATATTAATGTGCCAGCCAACAATCTACTTTTACAGAAATTGTTCTTAATGGTCATAAGAAACAAAAGCATTTTTGAAAAAAAACGTCAAGCACTACTGTAACTCCAGGAAGAAAATTTGGGTGATTTTGACACCATATTTTAATTCAAAAAAGATTTAGCAGTTTAGTGCTGATTACTATATGTTTGAAATTTTGCTATTTTCAATCTTACATTTCCATTGTCAGTGCTATAAAAACTAAAAAAGGAATTTTTGAAATATATTTGTGGAGTTCTGTTCAATACGATAATAATTGTAGATTATAGGCAAGAGGTTTAATTCATTCTCCTCTTTCATGGGAGTTAGTTGTGATTCATATCTTGAAGACAGCAGCAACTTGAAGCCCTTAATATAAAAAGAACAATTGTTTGCCACATTTTCAAAGTTTTTAGAATGATATATTTTTATATTAACTTAGATAGAATGAAGTCTTTGCTGATAATTTTGTATACATAGCTTAGAAATTAACTAATCATTCTTCAGCCTGGGTTTTTTGTAATTTTGTTAAGAAAGTGTTTTGAATGATCTGCAATTTGCAATTTAAAACAAATTTAAGTAAAAAATAGACAACTAAGTTGTTTTAAAGGTGATTTCAGTACAATATTGATTTCTGTTTTGCCCAGAACATAATACAATAATACAATTGTAGATCTGTTTCCTAGGTTGGACTTTACTAGCAATGACTTCAAATAAAGATCAGTTTTCAAATTGGAGAGGTTCAATCTCCATTGCGGTGGTAACTGTTAGGGCAATTTACGCTTTTCATAAGGGAGGAGAGAGTAAGGATAATATTTGCCTTTTAACAAAGACTCTGGGGATGGGGGTTAGTATATTAGTGCAATGTACCTTTGTGACCTTTAACTATAATGATTATTGATATTATTAATAATTATTATATAATTATTACATATTTTTGTGGCCAGTATTTTAGGGTCTGATAGGCCTTTCATTGTCAAAGTTATAGGATAGATATTAGACTCTGTTTCAAAATTAGTCATTGGTACATGAAAGCGAGGTCAATGGGGCAATTCTATATTTCGTCTTATTACATATCAGTCTCACCATTAAAAGCTGTCACATATTTGTCAGCATTAACAAGTATTGTATATGTCCACAAAGACTCCTTTTCATGTCTACTGATGTAATTTTGAAAGGAGGTTATATGAAGAAATGTACTTCAATGTAAGTGGGTAGGGGTTACTGAAACTCCCAAATCACTTTTGCTAAATATATATATATAGTTTTGCCTTTCTATTTTATACTGAAATGCATTGTGATGTACTGTAGGTCATGTAATTCATTTTTTCTATTAGTTTGTAAATAAGACCACTATTGCTGTATCTTGGATTTTATTATTGTAAAAGTTTCAACCAGCGATTCCGATGTACTAGGACTAACTCTAGTTTACTTTTACCACGTTATCCGCCTCAATCGAAACCGAACTTTCTCTATAAGTTCTACATGTGCATGTCGCCCATAACTTGTCGGACGTTTGGATCCAGATCATGTTTCCTTTAAAACATTGTAAGTGCGGTCAAAGTCCGTCGTTTATAGAGAAATATGGAACCTTTTTTTAATGCAAAAATGGAAATTTCATCATCATTTGAAAGAAGAAGAGTTATATCTTTCATGCATTTTTACAAATTTATTCCAATTTCTTCCATCGTGTTCGTCAGTTTCTGTCCCTTTAAGTCGAGCATTCAATTKATTCGTCGCACAAAAACCCAAGTCTGGTCGTTGCCGTCAAACATAACCTTTGAACCTTCTATAACATATCCTGCGTCAATAATGTGTTGAACAAGTGCATCCACTTGTGTTGGTTTCAAAGGAATCTCCATTTGTGCTCCTTGAACGACCTTCTCCCCTGTACTGAAGTGAAAATCTTCACCAGTTTTTAGTTGCGCACCAGGAATTGGCTTGGGGATAATTTCAACAAGATTCTTGACCTCACCTGCAAGTACCACACCCTTTTTCTTACTGAAATAGCTAAGCCTTATGTACGAGTTCTGTTTGGTATATTTTGATTTCTCTTTCTTTAACTCTTCCACTAAGTCGTATATTTCAAAGTACTCTGCTTCAGCTTCAAGTTCATCAAAACTTTTGAAATCTAACGGCAATTTTAGTTTCTTTGTCCTTAAGAAGCTCAATATGTAACGAAATGTCTCCCCATCTCGGTCGATGAATGTATTTCCACGAACATCCTTAGAAAGCGGGACGATCCCATTACACATCTTAGCGAGCCTTGAGTCAGGGTACTGTGTCAATGTATAAGAAGTAGAGTGGTAATTATAGCCTCCAACGTTTATACTCACTACAGATGGAAACAGGAAGATGGCTTGTTCTAGAATCCCATCTTGTTCGATAACTTGACTGGTTCGATACACTCGAACTTTGCCTTTTCCTGGAGAGCCTAATTCAATCTCATCTTTGTAGTGCCTCTTTGATTTTTCTTCTACTGTACCTGATAGTGATTTGATCAGATCGCTAACAGGGGATAGATCTAGATGTAGTTTCTCATCTTTAGATTCATGATCAGGTGTTCTAGAAGCCTCTTTATCCTCCATTATTAGTGGACAGTGATTCACCTGTTAGGGTCTGCTGTCTTATGCACTGCGCGCAGTCCAATACAAGGCTGTATAGACATTACATGACATTAAGTGAACCAGTTAGAGTATGACACATTGCGCGCATTTGTCAWCTTTATTTAAATGTCACATAAACCAGCGTTTATATATAGTACACCGGGCTCTGAAGTTATCAGACATTGTATTCAAGGTATATATTGCATGACATCCGAACGATCTATTAGACCTCTCAAAATTWTGATTGTGTGACATTTTCCTGCTGTGCCTGCTGTGGTGTCAGCTCAGATGCACTCTGCCGTGTTGTGCTGACTGTGTGCAACAGATTGCCTTTCGCATGTGTGGGCCCTTTGCGTATGCCACGTGGACAGATAATGGAATCGATGTTTAGTTCATTTAAACAATATACTTTATTTTGTTCCACTTATCAAGCTAATGGAAGTCGCCACGCATAAAATGAGTCTAAAAATAGATGCATACATGAACCTCTAACTTTTCTGTAATTTTCTATCATTTATCGGAACTCCAAAATTTCATTTCCTTTTGTCTAAATGATTATTTCTGCAGCTGTCTGTTACTGACGCTGGTTATGGTGCACCACGTCTGCGCTCACTAACCGCCGCGCTACCACTAACTAGTAGGCTATTTTCTTTGCTCTTAAAAGCTGATCGGCGGTTCTTGCGATGGTAGGCCAAGTTTTGTGAAGGAAGAAAAGACCCTGCATACGAGAATCAGACCTAATTGACTTGGTTACACCTTTTTCCGCTGATGATTCTTATCATCATCATCATCATCATCATCATCATAAAACTAGTTGTGTGTGAGTCTCATCCTTTACCTTGTGCGAGTGTACACATTATTATACCTTAGGGGGTCATAGTTGGGATTTTTTGCTAAAGTCTCGCGGGCTTTGTWTCATCACGTGACTAAGTCAAGCAATAAACGCTAATAAATAGAGACATCAAAGGGGTTAAGTATGTTAAACACAGTTGTATCAACATGTGAACATTCTGTTTATGAATCGTAGAAATCTAGGGGGTCCTAAAAGACTTAATATCGAGAGTAAATAATGGTTGTACTCAATGATCCTTTTCGTGTCAAAAAATGGTTTTTCTAGTGAATTAAAACGAGTTTTCTAATCATCAGATGTACGTCCTTAAGATTTTTGATATGTCTGGAATGAATACCCAATCGCTTTAAACCTTTGATATTCAAATAAGGGATTTATTGCTAGAATTCACGCTCTTCATGTTTCACTCACGCGACGAGAAAATGCCTGGTTCTTTATATTACTTTTATGGCCAATATTTCTATTAATCCTTATCATAAGACGTTTTCATTTGTGGACTTTTAAGRGTCGATAATCCGACACAGGACCAACAGTGGGGCWTTATTGTGTTGCGTGTTTTTAACATATTTTGAAAGGATTTCGCTTATCTTTCTAAATTAAGTCTTATGTTTGYGCATGGTTTTTAGTCTTAAGGTGTGGCGGTTTCAATTTGCTTCTCACGATACTAATTAATGTCGATCGGYCATTCAGCATTGAGTRTATTCTGTTCAGCTGTGCGAAATCAACTAAGGATGTGCGAAAGGGAAGGTCGTTGAAGAAGAGATTATGTTTTTTCTATTGTGATCCTTTCTCTGTATAGCTTTCCCCTCTTTTTTATCCCTTTCAAATTCTTCCTCCCTTCTAGTTTGGTWTTCCCTTCTCCCTTCGATCCATTTCTTTCTTGAAATTTTTCACCATTCATCTTTTCCCATTTTTTGTTGTTCTCTTTTCTTTTTCTTCTTCTTCTTCGATGTATTCTTTTCTTTTCAGTTTTTGGCAAAGCTTATTTCACTCTTATCTGCTTTTCTTTTTTTTCATTTCTCGGTCGACCAGTTCACTTTGGGATGCCTTTGCATAAGTGGTCGCAGGGACCCTGGTATCCAACCACATCCAAAGGCATTATGGGTATAAACTTTTCAGTAACAGAAAAAATGGCGGCGAACGGGGAAGAGGAGTATGACTGCAGAACGCATAATAACTGATTTAAAATGGACTCCAGCAATGAACAATTAGAACTAGAGGAAGGAGAAATYGATGAACTTGAAGATGGAGAGATTGAAGACGATGAAACTACGGAAAAAACTGTAAAAACGACAAGTAATGTTACACCTTCGTCAAGCGTTGACTCTGATTTTTCTCGAAACTCTTCAACAGTAAATCATGAAGATAAGATMTCTCATTACAGTCCTAAAATTCCTCCGAACTTTCGAAGAAGGGGTATTATCCCTTCTCCAAGGTATAATGTCACTGAAAATCGGTCGAAGAGACCACAGTACGAGCGGGCTCTACCAGCTCATGTACCTGAATTCATGAGTCCAAGGACTGCTTTTTTACGACACATTAGAGGATCTTTACCTGCAGGAATGATGAGAGAAAAGCAAAGACGTATCCTTGATATAAATAGACAGTCATCATTCGCTTTTGCTCGTCGAGTTTTTTTGGTTATTGTTTTATTGTTTGACCTCAGAAAACGTGTTCGTTCAGGCCTATTACGTACATGTATTATTTTTAGACGAAATTTATCTACGATCTTAAACTCTAATGTTTTTCATCGGGTGATTTTTAAAACATTACAGGCATTCATATGGAAAGGAGGCATTTTCAGATAGTAATAAATGTGGATGTCCAAACACTTCCTGAAAATGCCTCATTTCTATGCACATGCCTGTAATACTAATCATTCTTGACAATGTCCAAAAATTATTATGTTGCTAAGGTATAGAAATATTTTTAGGCTTATAAAATACAGTGTATTTATAGGCCAGGTGACTCTGTCCTCTGATGTGCATTTACAGTGAGAGCCAGGAGAGCTCAACATGTTGTAACACGTCTCGAGCTCCCACCATGTTTACACTGTGCACGTATAAGAGGATCAAAAGAGGCTGCCATTATGCATTTCTTTTATAGAATTTTTAGAACTTTTGAAGCATACAAACAACAAAAATGTCTCTGAACTCTGATACAAACTTTGTTATCCACCAATATGAGCACATTTTACATTGATACATACATGTATCTCAAAAAATTGGGGGTTTTGTACATTGTAAACAGGGTTCATGCTACTACTTGAAATCCTTGAAAAGTCCTTTTTGTGCTTAAAAAGTAGTTGAAAAGTCCTGGAATTTTGTAGTGAAAATGTAGCACGAACCCTGCAGTGTGATGTTGTTTTGAATGTTGTCTTTAACCTTGAAATAGCAGCTTTACTRCCAACGCCTCCWAGRCTTCCTGTACCGTTGATGAACAAAAGATCTAAACCTTACTTTGAACATTCTCGTCCTCGTTCACCATCGCCAGCAGAAACACCTGACATAGATAATATGGACGACTTTGATTTGCTGCTTAAAAGACATAAACAAATTCARTTACAGTTAGAGACTTTAGAGAAAGAAGAATCTGAAGCTTTGCTTGACAATGAAGATATTATAGATGATAGTTTTATTGATATTCCTGTYGATGGTAATTTAGATCACTCAGGTTCTGAACCAGGGTCTTCAGGAGTGCTTTCCAATGAAGGGAGTGAAGAAAAAWCTTTACCAGAAAAGTTTTCTCCATTTAAAATCAAACCTCTWCGACCTCCTATACCTTCAATCAAAGAACTTAGTGAGAAACAAAAGCATCAAGACTCAAGTAAAGATGTCACAGAAACATTAGAAAATATATCAATAAATGCTGATGCCTCTAAAACTACTAGAACACAAACMAYATCTCAGTCATCTCAGGAGACTCGTGTRCCAGGAACAGCATCAGCAAGGAAGAAAAAAGCTCGRCAAAGACGTAGAAAAAGRCAAATACAAAGAAAGAAAGAAAAACAGGTTTATGAAGCTATRCTTGCTAGGACTAAAGATAATCGCCCTAAACTAAGAAATGATAATTCAAAAACAATGGAACCAACCACAGAAATTGACTCAAAGCTTATGATGATTGCATCGTCATCTGCAATTAATGATGATATGGACATGAAAATGAGGTAATTATTAATGATGATTAATAATGTCTAATAATATCTACTTAAGACTGGTCTCCTTACTTGTATGATCATCACATTTTTGTGTTTGTTAAAAGCGGATATTTTGGTTCAGTGACCACAAAAGAATTGCAGACGAGGCTCCGGGGAGATAAAAGAATAAATCAAGATTATCCATTGTTTTCCCRGAGCCTTGTGTGCGTTCTTTTGTACATATGTAGTCATCGAACCAAAATATCTAAAGTTGACTATTGAGATAATGCAATACACTATGTTTGAATTGATTATTATACAATTATTGTATGAGATCTAGGCTTAAACTACAAAGAAGACTGGTCAGTTTTGGAAAATTGAAAGTATTTGTTTATTATCRATTATTCCAGGAACACCACAGAACAACAGAAGATAAGACGTGAGAAGCTAAAGCAGTGGCAGAAGTCCCATTGGCAGGCAGGTAAAGTACGCAGGTCACCCAGTGTCAAAAGCAGTTCAGATGGTAAAGAATTTGACAARGATGACTATCTAGAGGCTCCTATGGATGTAGAGAGTGATACTCCAGGTATSTGCAATATATATTATTTGAGTGTCTTTTGTTGTTGTTTTTTTTTGGGGGAAAACATGTAGTCAAAGTTTGGAGTCTCAAAAGAATCAGGTAGCTCCTGCCTGGAAATGGTTACTTGGATAAAGGATATTACATCAAGACCCTACTTCCCAGTGACTGTATTCAACTGATGTTAAAAAACCAATGAGGATATGCCGTACACTCAATCTCTTACCATGATCACCAAKTGATCGAGTCATTCTTATAAGATTCCTGACTTATAAAAGCCTGTGATTGGAGTCGCAGTCATTATGGACAACCTACTACATGTATTTGCCTTGCAGTTGAATGAATAAATAGTTAAGTTAGTGTCTAAAATKGTCCATTTTATCTCTCCACTATAGATGGCCCTGTCTTACCATTAATTGAAGAAGCAGGCAAAGACCCACCACCTCCTCCACCATTACCGCTGTCTATAAGAGACCAAGAGTTAATGACCCTTTTTCAGCAACAGCAGCAAACGGCATATGGAAATTATCCTTTACAWTCTGTGGTTAACTCATCCAACGTCTCACCAAATATACATGGATTTTATCCTCCAGGCCAGATAGTAAGTGTCTATTGACTAACAAGTCTCACTGATTTCATGTCCTCGCACTATATTTTATTAGACATCTGTTYTAAACATTGGCCATTCACAAAGAAAACTATTTGTCTCAAAATTCCTTTTGAGAACTAGAGTCATGAAAGAAATAACTTGATTTAAAATAACCMTTTAATATGTTACATCCCCGTAGTGTTTCAAAGTGTTTTGATATCATTTTTCAGATTTTTAATGACTGGCAAAGTGCCTATCCTGTAGAATCAGCTGAAGTAGGCTTCTTACAAACCACTTCTACCACTAAGAAACCTCCTGAGGTATCCATTAAATCCCCTGAAAATGAAGAAGAYGAYGATGATGATGAAGCAGATTTGTTGAGAGAAATTCTACTCAAATCTGTTGCTAAGAAGAGAGCTGCAAAAACTACAGACAAGAAGACTTCTKATTCTTCTCCCGTTAGTCCWCARTCACAGCAAATATCGAAGGCAACACGACCTGCCGCYARAAGGAAAGATATGGGATCATCTGTTAGAGATTCAAAGCCCAAACAAATTCACCAACAACCAATAGTGAGTGAATATAAATTGAATTATGAAGAAAAAAGATTATTATATGTATGAATGAATAGGTGGGAAAGTGGATGAAAGAATAATTGAATGAATGTTTGCAGAAATTGAATAAGAAGCATCAGGTACTGTATATGATATATGACTGAATGATTGGGTCAATAATTACTTGAACAATATATGAGTGTTAAATAAAATAATAAATAATAAATAAATAATAAATAAATGGATAGAAGAATGAATATATGGATGGCTGGATAAACAAACAAATGGATGGGTGAATTTACGGATGGACTGTTAATCGAATTGAGGAATGGATAGATTAATAAATGAATGAAGGATGCATGGCTAAGTAAACAATGAATGATAAACGAATGTATGAATGCATAGATGGATGGATAAAGAAAGGGATGGWTAAATGAATGGATAATTGAATGGATAAATGGAAGGGAAATAGATATCAAAGTTTACATGATTCCATTTATAGCCATTCACAATATTTCATACACTGGTTCAGTGATCATGAACAATCCATTGTACCAAGGCATCAAGGTACCGTGAGCATAAAAGAAAAGTCTGATCTGCGCTCACTGTACCTTGACACTTGGGTTCAATGCTTTGTTTGATGGTCAATGAACCTGAGTATGGAAAGTCATGAATGCAATTGCCAGTATTATAATTATTATTATTAAMCATTCAACAGGTTACGTTAACACCTCCCCAACATGCGCCAGTAGTGATTCAACTTGGTAAYGACACCGATGACTCWGATGATTCAGACAAAGAAGAACCTGTTTTGCAACAAAGAGCTGGTTTCTTTGGTAGTTTGGACATGATGATCAAACAAGCAAGACAGTCTGCAGTAGAGGTASATAATCCTTTTTATTACTGGTCAATTAATAGCCTATAAACAAACCAAGTTAAGGCTGCAGCCGGAGTTAAATACTTACTCCTTTTCTTTACATTCTCTTTTGATCCAAGAAACATTGTATGTGTGAGACATTTGTAAATAATGCATGGAAGTATCAACTTTAACACTCTAAAAATGGTTGTACATACTGTAGTATGCAGTGGCACCTGTATTAGATTCTAAATAGATGAATGTTGATAATTTGATATTGAATATTGTAATTTTTGTTATTCAGCGCACTGTAGTGTAGTGTAATGTTTTGTAACCTCTTTTTGTATGCAATTGTTGGAGCTGTTTATTTTAATTTAAAAAAACGAATATTGATGAGAATGCATATTGCTATCACTTCATGTGTCTTGTATTGAATAGCTAATGTATTGATCTGTTTTAATCCAGAATTCTAAGCCCAAACAACCAAGTGTGGAGCCAACCAAAGTGCCTAAAACTCCAGATGCTTTATCCCACCTRCCTGAAGAGAGAAGAGCTGAATACAAAAGGCTAAAAGAACAGCTTGCMTTACATGAAGGAAAAAAGAGGCAGCCTCTCTCTGATATCAGTCAAGATAAAGGTATGAAATGCTGCTTTGTTGTGATTGACAAGATTTTGGGGTAGGAAGTTGTCAGTAACGGGTTGCATTAAAAAGTTGTTATTAGTARAACTAATTTGTTGGTTAGAGATTTGGAAAACAGGTTTAAGGTGTTTGAAGCACTAATRATAATATTACTATTGCTTTTGTTTGATTCTTTAGAAACCAAGTCAGGWAATGAAGTCAATGATGAAAAAATGGAAGTGCAATCTGGGGAAAGCAGTGAGCTCACAGAGCTGAAAGAGAAAGTGAAATTGCATGAAGAAAAACTTACTAGAACAAGGTAAACCAATTTAGATTTAGCAGAATTTGAGTTGCATTGAACTTCAGTACATGTATGCATATATTATATTTACAACCACTTTATGTGAATTCATGGTTATTAGCTGTGCATTAATATCTTTTRAAGACAGTGCCTTGCAATTCTTTGTACACAGAAACTTACTGAATGAAGATCAACAGAGACTGACAAAGATGACATCTCTTTTGAGTGACAAGACAACATTGTTAGAAGAACAGGAAGCTAAAGTTGCTAAACTTAAGAAGCAGCTTGAAGTGCAACAAAAAGCCATGTTGAATAACAAAGAYGTGATCAAGAGACTACATGAAAAGGTAATCCATACTTKATYATTACATAATGTTTTGTGGTTAAAAGGAAAACAAGTTTTATGTTGAGAGGGAGAACTGGTGGTGAGTACTAGATTTAGAAAGAATAAAAAAACATTGGTTATCTAATTTGTCTAATATGTTTTTAAAAGTATTCTTGATAATTTCAATCCAAAGGCCACAATAGTRAAAGACMGAGTATCAAAGAGAATSACGTCAAGCCGTAACATTGAAGAGGAGTTGCTCCGCATGAAGAGTATGGTATCAGCAATGCGTAGGAATCCTGGCTTTCAGAAAAATAGTGAAAACAAAGAAATAAGTAAAGCTAGCAGTGCTGAAGAAACAAGACCAAGTGATATCAAAAGGCTGGCTTCACTGAAAAGAAGTGTGGATGATTTGGAGACTTTGGTAAGTGAGTTTTGAATTTATATATTGTTTGATGCTTAGCAATACCATTGCAATGGAGGATGCAGACTCTGGGGGAGGTCAGGAAAACATTTGGTTGGCATAGGAATCCAATAGGAGCACAATTTACTGCAGGAATTCTTGCAATCAGTAATTTGTCGTTCCTTTTGGATCTGCCCTTGAAGTGAATGATAAAATATTGATTTACAGAATTTTTGTCTGGTTTAAATATTATTATATATATTCTCGTGTCTTTAGCATATAACAAATGTTTTAAGAGGGTGTCAATTAAAATGTGACAAGTATTTGTATGTTTTATGCAGAATTCAAAGAAAGCTAAAGTTGACTCYCCAAGAAGTCAGTCTGTGAAAGCGTCACCTAGAAAACAAGCCCTTGCAGATATGATAGCACAAGAAAAGGCYAGRCTGAAAGCACTTGAACAAGAACTGGCTAAAAAGCTTAGCAATTTTAGTAAAACATCTGTCAGYAAGGAACCAYMTAAAGAYAGTCCTGTGAAAYCATCTAGTGACACTAAACCTTTGAATAATAATGAAAATAGCTCAAAGTCTAARGARGRGYCTGTAGAAGTGAAAAAGGACAGTGTTGTTGACTCAACAGTAGGTGAAAGTATGCAAAMATCATTGAGAACATTGGATATGATTRATGCCAAACAACTGGATCACATAAAGACATTGCAGGTACAAAATAATGATTATACAATACTGTATTACAATGATTGGTTTGTTTTCTAGGARGATTTTCTCCTTTCTCCTTTCATCAATGATTGATGAAATAATTCAGTCCTACAGCAGTTCTGCATTTATTTGCAGTATATTAATTCATCACACATTAGTCTACATGTGAAATACTATAAAATGTAAGCATTTTAACATATGAATGCATTTAGCAAATGGGTATTGTTATTTTCTCAGGCAGAAAAAGAAAAAAAAGGACCAGTTTTCCCATCATTAACTGTAGAAAYACCTCTACCAGTTCACAAGAAAGTAGCAAAATGCATATGGCTGGATTCAATGAGTGCAGTATCACCTGTAGTTAATGTAAAAGCATCTAACATTGACTGGATTGCTGGTARTTCCAATCATATCAAAGATAAAGACAAAGACATTGCTACCAACAGCAGCATTCCTATTGGAYTGTATGAAAGTGTGCTGTTGTACTTCAAATCCTACAGGTAGGAGCGCTAAGAATACTCCAGTTTTGAATTCTCTTTTGTGCAAGCTTATCTTCAATCAAGCACAAATGTTTATTGTCTTCTTTGTATATAAAGTGTTTGCATAACAATAGGATCATTACCAAATATAAGAATATATTACATGCTTTCGACGTTAAGGCTGCACAAACAAGATCTCRAAACTGGAGTATTTGTCAYGGTCWAGTATAAGTATTACCCTTGCATTGATAATAATCTGTTTACAGCACATTAACAATGATTTTATATGTCAATTTTCCTTGTTTTCCAGGCTCTCCCCMTACTACCGTACTAAATCTGGCCTGTCGCTAAAATCYTTATCACATACCAATAAAATCAAYCCTGTTGTACCTCTTTGTAAATACGAACTTAAAGGCACTTGTAATGATGAACAATGCCAGTATCAACACAAGAGAGATTACACACCRACTACAGATGATACTATGAAGGACTTGGCAGCSTATATAGTCAGYGACAAGGAGAATACATCAATAAATAAAGGAACAGAAGAAAAGCTTCAAGATATCATTCAGAATTTTGTAAAACAATACAAAAATAAGATCTCTATGGATGATTTATAYCTGTTACTTGTCAATCATGTTAGAGTGAATGCCGAGATGATACAGCCCTTTTATATTTGTGGTGTCAATCATTCCATGTTGCTATGGCAAAATAGGAAAACTGTGATTATTGAAGAGAGTACATCTACTGTAGACACAGGTCGTGGTGTGCATTTGGCAAAGAAGGAAGAACAGAAGGGACCTTGTAAAAACACATCTAGAGAACAGTAAGCTTTTTGTAATTAATTTGCTTTAATGCCTAAGCATTATTTTGATTGGATCTGCAATACAAGCAATGCGTTCTTTATGTTTTCTTGCAGTCAAGAAGTGCGATATTTCTCAGAAGTCTATAACAGYCTAACAACATTATCAAATGCAGTACAAGAAACCCCATCAGATGTTGCATTATGGATTAAACTAGCACGACTACAATTGTGTCAGAAATCTGAAGATGAAGAAGRAGACATCAGTGAAGAGCAAACAGATACAGGGGTTCTACAGTCACTGAATACTTTATCAAGAGGTTTGGAGGCAAATCCTGACTCAGAGGTACTGTATATTATTAAACTATTAATGATGATTTATAGTTATTATTTAATTACCCTGGTTTCTTCTCACAAGAACCATTTAAAATCATAATAAAAGCCTTTGTTTGTTTGTAATTCTTCTTTTTGTCATCAGACTGTCAGGCTCTAACTTTTTCCTTTGTTTTTATTACTTATTTCATGTGTTATTTCATTTATAGTAACTTCACTGTACCATTTATACCTCATAACAATTATTTTCCTTATTGTCTTCATGTCTCCTTTCCTCTTGTTCGTTTGTACTTGTGTTTTCTTCTCTTGCACTTTTCTTGTGACACCCCCTTTACTGGTACATAAACTTATGATGTTCTAACCGAAGTGTGGTATGATTTTGTCTTTGCAATATAAAGTTGTTTTAACTATTATTTTAACTGTTGTTTTAACATCACCCTACACAAAAGACTCTGTACTCCTTATACTCGCATATATGTAAATTTCCTTCACTCTCCTGATGATGTCGGCGACCGACGAAAGCTTGAAAGTAAACTCATCACAGCAGTAGCGTATGGCCTAATTTCAACTTTATATTGCACAACATGATGCTACTGAAGGACAACTTCATTACTTTGATTTTGTCTTTCTGTTAGGAATTATGGCTTGAATACCTCACATTATTCCATGCCCAAGAAAACAGTACAGAACACAARGAGCTTTGTGAACAAGCTATTGGTTTTACACCTTCATTCAATATCTGGTGGCATTATTTAGAGTCTACCAACACTTACAATGATAAAAGAACTATATGCATAAGACTTATCAATCACCTAGCAAGCCAAGATGACTCCACAGATCTTCATTCACATAGAMTCCTTGAATCACTGCTGTACTTGGTACAGTTAGAACTYTATACTGGAMGAGTGAAGGCTGCTTTGTCAACTTTTATGCTTGCAATAGGCAAAAAACACCCCACAACAAGTKCAAATGAGAGRGRAATCYCTATGAAGTTGACTGGTAAACTTTCACCAACTGATCTGACTCTTRTCTGGCTGGGTTATATTCATGTGTTTGAGTTYCATCRGTTGCCAGGCATTTGGTTTGATCAGAGAAATGGTCATCCATCAAGAATGGTTGCTAAGGATGCTATTGTGTTTCCATGGCAACCTGGTGGTGGGACAAGGGCATCAAGTGAAAAGCTTCTGGCTTTATTTCATGGTTAGTTATCTTAAGTAATATCAATGATATTTGTATCAGGCAATAGAGAAAAAGATTTTTGTTTTCAGCAGATATCATTGCCTTGCAACTTTAAAGTTCATTTCATTTCTGCCATTTGTACATGGAGCTGACACTTAGTTTCAGATATTTCAATTCTAAAATTACTCTTCCTAAGGGAAAACTGCTAGAAGCACTGTAATATTATCTGAAGTCTAAAGTAGTTTACATGTACTTCAATCAATACTTAATTAAATATTGTAAGCATAAAAGACCTCAAAATCCAAATGAACTTTAAAGCTTTGAACTTTGAAAGCTTTGAAGTCATTATTCAACAATTTTTTCCTGTGACAAATATCACAGTACATATGWAGCAGAGTGTTACAATGCTAAGCTATGTTATCGGATGGTCTTCATTTGATTGCTTACAAGAGCATTATTTATGTTTTCAGAGGCACTCAAATGCTGCACACACAAGGACAAGTCATTATCAAAGGTCTCATTATGTTTACCTCTCTACCAAAACCTTCTTGCTTTGGAGAGAGCACATGGTAGAGTTGACTCTGCAAAGGGTATATGTCGACGTTTACTACAAGGTAACCCTACAATACTGGAGTTGTGGCAGTGCCTTGGTGCCCTGGAGGAGTCCACAGGCAGCCCAACACAAGCATTAGGTGTCTTGAAGGATGGTTTAACAAAGTGTAGCAATGACTGTGAGCTGGCTTACACCATGGCTAGGCTATATCTAGAACAGGTATATAACGTTGTAAACTAATATTGTTAAGTACTCCTTGTCATTCCCTTTAGGAATAAATACAGAAAAATAATGTGGTCCTCATATTCATATCTTTACATTATTCTATTAACGCAACCTAACATCTATTTCACCCCGACCTGCTCCCAGTCTGGTCCCAGTGAGGTCGGAAATTAATTTTCCAAATTTATTCCTAAAGGGTCTTTCTCGCAGAATTGTCTCCTCCAAGCACTATAACTTTCTTTCAATTCTATATCATAGTGCCATGCAGTCCTCATATTCATATCTTTACATTAGTCTAATATGGTTCTTAAGATACGATTCTGATTGCACTGAGAATATTTTGATTGTTGCTATTACATACTAATTCCAAAGAAATAAAATTATCATCATCTTTCAATTTTGTAGAAGAAACCTTCCATGGCAATAGAATTGCTTATTACAAACACAAAGAYCAAGTACCTGAAGCCAACTGGTAGTGATTCTAAAGTTGATCCTATTAAGTTATACAGAAAACTACTGAATCAGCCTTTACCATATGACAGTCAACCAGTAGACCTAGTTGATAAACCAAGTGAGAGAGAGGAACTGTACTTATGGCTTAGTTATTGGTAATGTATACTGTATTGAATTATACTGCTGGCTGTGGTCTCCTTGATGGTTCCCTGTGCCATCTTGAAAGTTAACTGTGTCTGAGGACCATTGAGCGTGCAATGATAGATATCTGTGACGACCATTGAGCATGTAATGATAGATATCTGTGATGACCATTGAGCGCGCAATGATAGATATCTGTGAGGACCATTGAGCGCGCAATGATAGATATCTGTGAGGACCATTGAGCGTGCAATGATAGATATCTGTGAGGACCATTGAGCGTGTAATGATAGATATCTGTGACGACCATTGAGCGTGCAATGATAGATATCTGTGATGACCATTGAGCGTGTAATGATAGATATCTGTGACGACCATTGAGCGCGCAATGATAGATATCTGTGA